AAATACATCATGTTTAATTGTATTTTTCTTATAATATACAATTATAATATTTTTCTCACCTTTAATAGCTATTAAAGGAGTATTAACAAGTGCTGTTTGCGGCAGCTGCATCGCCTGGGCCCCAAATAAAGTAAAAGAGACAAAACACTCGGATGAGTCCACCAGGTTTATCTCTCTGCGTAGGATTTGTTCGTTCTTTGTCTTTATTATATAAAAACACAAAAGCAAATATATAAACAATCGATATTAATTATTATTATTATTAGTAAATGCCATTACTATAACTAAATTTGTTCTTTTTATTACTACTGAATGCCTAAACTTAGCCCCTAAAATGTTTTTCTTTATTCCCTCTTATTTATTTTCTCTTAGCCTTGAACCCCCCGTTCACGCGTTGCATGCACATGCAGTTGCAACCTGCTGCGGCAAACGTGATTCTACTCTGCTAGCACGTGAGCTTTTGCTCTATGAACTGCTGCTGCTGCTGCTGCTGTTGCTGCTGCTGCTGCTGCTGGTGCAGCGTTGACTGACCCTGGATAAGACCGTCTCTAGTTCCTTCGCCTCCGCAACAAACGCCAAAATATCCACCACACTGCCGGGGGGGAGCTCGGAAAGATCCCGCAAATAAACTCGTTCAAATCTGATTAAAAAAAAGAAACATAAACACAGAAACAGGCATGCACAAGGTGGATATACACCCCAAAATGCAATGGATGTACACCTGGAAAACAATACTGAGATACACCCCAACATACAATACATATACATCTCAACCCATGGTGTACATACACCTGAAAAAACGAGAATGCTTTGCCATCGCAACACCATAGAACCGCTGGCCACAGAGAAATACTGACATGATTAAAGAATAAAAATTAAAAAATAAAAGAACGAACAGGAAGAACGATGCAAGAATGCAAGCGGTTGGTTGTTTCTACCCGAGTGGCGAATAAAATACGAGATTTATGAGGGTTTAGATTCGTAAACCCTAAACCCTAAACCCTAAACCCTTAACACATTGGTATACGAGGGCCAGAGACCAGCAAGTGCTGCGCTGAAGCCAGCAGAGAGCCGCAGGGTAAACGCACAACGACGAGAAGTGGAAATACAGAAGAAAACAAATACAAACAGCTGATGGGGTGTACAGACAGTTGC